CAGTTTCACAGGCGTTCTATTTATCACTCTTTTTTTTATCGAGGTATATTTGATATACAATATTATATGTTTCAGGTGTACAACATAGTGATTCAAAAATTTTAAAGGTTATACTCCATTTATAGTTATTATAAAATATTGGCTGCATTCCCTGTATTGTACAGTATATCCTTGTGGTTTATTTATTTTATACATAATAATTTGTATCTCTTAATCCCCTACCCCTATCCTGCCCCTCCTTCCCTCTCCCCACTGGTAACCACTAGTTTGTTCTCTACATCTGTGAGTGTTTCTTTTTTGTTATATTCACTAGTTCATTTTATTTTTTAGTTCCACATATAAGTGATAACCTACAGTATTTTTCTTTCTCTGACTTATGTCACTAAGCATAACTCCCTCCAAGTCTGTCCATGTTGCTGCAAATGGCAAAATTTCGTTCCTTTTTATGGCTGAGTAATTTTCCATTGTATATATACACATCTTCTTTGTCCATTCATCTGTTGATGGACACTTAGGTTGCTTCCATATCTTGGCTATTGTAAATAGTGCTGCTATGAACACTGGGGTGCATGCATCTTTTCACATTAGTGTTTTTGTTTCTTTCGGGATATATATCCAGGAGTGGGATTGCTGGGTCATGTAGTAGTTCTAGTTTTAGTTTTGTTTTATTGCGGTACGCAGGCCTCTCACTGCTGTGGCCTCTCCCGTTGCGGAGCACAGGCTCCGGACGCGCAGGCTCAGCGGCCATGGCTCACGGGCCCAGCCACTCCGCGGCACGTGGGATCTTCCCAGACTGGGGCACGAACCCGTGTCCCCTGCGTCGGCAGGCAGACTCTCAACCACTGTGACACCAGGGAAGCCCTAGTTTTAGTTTTTTGAGGAACCTCCATACAGTGCTCCACAGTGACTGCACCACCAACAGTGGTTTACATTCCCACTAACAGTGCACGAGGTTCCCTTTTCTCCACATCCTCTCCAGCATTTGTTATTGGTGGTTTTTTTGATGATGGCCACTCTGACAGGTATCACTCTTGTTTTCTAACATGCATTAGGAAAATTGTTTTCTTTACCTTTCGTGACAAAACTCATGACACAGCATTTGTCTCAAGATCAGGGTTGGGGAAGTTGAAGAGCAGTAATTTACCGCAGATATAGAACTAGTTTGTTTTCTTTTCATAAATGGATCAAAATAACAGCCTTTAGGTGTTTTGCTTTTTTTTTTAAAGGCTGACAGACTTCCCATTGACAGAGGCCTTTCATTTAATTGTTACTAGTTGCCCTGGGGACTCCTGTACACTTCATACTTTGCTAATACATCTGATGAAGGATTACAGAGTATCCTAGGTTGGGAGAAAAACAATGGTTAACAACAAGAGGTTAGCACCTTGGACCAGAATATAACAAAAAAATATGGAAAAGTGACAAAACGAGAAAAAAATGGGAACACAGTTATATTAACAAAGAGGTAACGAGGGGTCACAGAACCTTCACTGCTAATTTTTTATCCAAAACTGTTCCCCCAGAGGAGTATACCAGGTTAGGAGCTATAACCTTTATTTAATAATTGTGAAGCTTTCCTGCACTTTAAAAATTTAGGAGTTACAAAGTACATTTGTCAGCAGTAGGACTCTTATCCGGTACCATACTGAACATGAGGAATTCTTCAAAACACAAAATAAAACTCTCTATATAATAGCATACTTGGACTCTGAGTTTAAGAGTGCAGCATGTGTCGATTAGTAAAAGCCAAATTTCAGAAGAATAGTTTTTCCTTATAATCAATAGAAAACTAGTTTAAAAGGGTGTATGTGTATAGTTTGGGGCCTAAGTTTATAATCAATTCCATCAAGACACTTAACCTGAAGTTTTACCATAAGTGAAAGGGATGGCATTCTATTATCTCTTTATTGAGTCTGGCTTTTTTTGCTGCTCTTCCTTACCTTATTTTCTGTTTTTATTACTTTTGATGATAACTCAGTACTTTTGCCTTAGAACAGATTAAGGGAAATGCATGAGAAATAGGAACTATTATGAGACATAAGCTTCTATCATAGAGAAAAGTTTTAAGAAAGTAATTAAAGCAAGTTTTGAGATGATCTCTGTGATGTATATTAATTAATACAACTCTCTTCCCCAGCCTCTTTTGACAACTAAACTGAAACGGCCACATTCAAATTGTTTATCTGCAGTGTGAAAATATGCAAACATGCCTTATGTCATAATCTCAACATAATAGTAAAACTGATGAAAGAATATGGAATAGCTAATTCTGAATAGCTTCAAGATTTTAATATTAAAGGTATTATCGAATCCCTCCATATTACTCTTGAATTCCATCCCAACTGGCCCAATATTGCAAGCAATCATTAGGCACACCATTGAGTTAAGTAAAGCGATTAAAAGACTCGATTTATCCTTCGTGTATTTAAGTTTAACAGCAGATTGTTGACAACTTCACAGACTCCAGAGCTGAAACCCTAGCCTCTCCCTCAGATTTGTTATATTTTATTTTTAGGCTGTAATCACTTCCCTCCGGTAAATGGTTAGTGACCACAGGCACAGGTCTGCACATGAGGAAACTAAAAAGGGAACTTTGTGCTATGAATCAGACACACAAGACATGAGAAGAGCCCCTGCCAGGCCCGAAATGTTATACTCTTCAATAATACTTATGACAGGGCTGTGCTGACATTTTCAATGAAAGCAAACGATACTTGCAGTTAAGCAGTTTCCATGACACGTTTAGTGTGGGCTGTTTCACAAGCATCTCCTACCAAGTGCCCTGATAAAAAACAACTCTTCATTTTTTTTCTTTAGGAATTTCCCTTAGTGCTTCAGGTTACGTGAATCTTACTAGAGTTCCAATTAATTTGGAATTCACACTCTTAGGAAAATCTTTCAGAAAGATTAATTTGGTAGGGTAAATTGGGCTAGAATATATGCATTTCAGTCTTCCTACATACAATATAACCTGATTAAAGAACTGACATAGCCAAGCTACAAGAGCAAACATTCAGGGGAATCCCAAGATGGAGAAGTTTCAGTTACGCAAGATGATCAGTACTCTACGCAAGATCTATAGCGAACAGTACTGTATTATACACATAGAAATTTGTTACCAGAGAGGAGCTCATGCGAAGTGCTCTTACCCCTCCCCAAAACGTTATTAAAGTCTAAATAAATAAACAAATGCAACCTGGTAGTGTAAGGTGCAAGACAACCAGCTAAGAAAAAAAAAATAATAATAAAAAGAAATAGTTAATCATCCCAAAGGTGAGTGTTCCTCTGTTTTCCGCAAACATAGGCATTAGATTCACGTGGGGAGCTGGTTAAAGATGTAAATTACTGAATCCCACCCCATGCTGTCCCACATCATAGGAATCTTTGGGAGTGGGACTCCAGAATCAGTACCCCAGATGATTCTTGCTCACACTAAAATTGGAAAACCATTTATGTAGATCCTTCAAATCAATATCATCAGGAACATTTATTTATTACACACTATCACGTGCCTAGAAACTGATTCATTCTCCTTTCAAACCAAAAAAGTCCTATCCCCTCTGATTAAGTAGCAAATTGGATTTCCTGCTACGTCTCTTAAAAGGAAGAGATGTAAAAAAGATTCAGAAGAGGGACTTCCCTGCTGGTCGGGTGGGTAAGACTCTGCGCTCCCCATACAGGGCGCGTGGGGCTCGATTCCTGGTCAGGGAACTAGATCCCTCATGCATGCTGCAACTAAGAAGTCTGCGCGCCACAACTAAGAGCCCGCATGCTGCAACTAAGAACTGGCGTAGCCCAAATAAATAAATATATATTTTTTTAATTCAGAAGAGTAGCAACATTATCAGAATAAACTCCCTGCCATAGGGACTTCTTTTTGCCATGAGTCACGCCCGACTTTTCTGAAAAACGATTTTCCCCCCAAAAAAGTATGATAGCCACAGGATGTCATTTGTACAGTGTTAGAATGTTCAAACTTTCATGTAGATTATTTTATGAAATGTAACTCCTGCCAAGTTAGTAAAAAATCATAAAGACTTACAAAACACCGTGACTCAGGTATGTTTTTATTTTATGAGTGCTTCAAACTCAAAAGTCTCTACTAGGGTATGTTTATACCTGTTTAGCAAAAATTCTGAAAGAAACATTCAAAAGAATAAGCACAATAAGACTCATAGTCTCAGGACACGTCATCATATGTGACCAGGGTCAGAATATATCATATGTGATCCTTTGCATAGAAGGTGAGTTGAAGTTTCTCTTTGCTCAGCAAATGGCTTTTCAATGTGTCTAGTTCAACTTTGGAATGCGAAGTACATTGAGGTCAGTAACTTACGCATACTCAATCTTCAAGAAGAGGCTTCCAAATTAGCCACCGGATCATTTTTAAAAATCAGAGGTGGAAGTGAATGTTTCAAATTGCTTTCAAGTCCTTTGGAAATATTTATGAGGTTGATAACTGAACAGTTGCAAATAAATATTATCTATTTAGTTCAAAAAGTGCTCTCATGACTGTTAATCTTTTGTTTGCCTCATCTGAGATACTACAAAATTGATATATAATTAAACTACATTTCCTTTTCTATTTCTTATTCTGTTTTTCACTCTTCTGTAATTAACATTAGCTATGTCCTTGGTTAATCCTAACTGAGGATGGGTTTCCATACTTACAATTTGAATAACTTGAAAAACTTCATTTAAAGGGGAAAGGGAAAAATAGACACACACAGAGATGTACATACATATTTATATTTGTAAATATCAGTGAGAGAAAGAAAAGGCTATTTAGACTAATATAATATGCATATAAAAAATGTAATTTTAGACATTCTCAATGTGCAATGTGAAGGTCAATGGGGAAAACAATAAATTATTATCTATTTTGTGCTAGTAGATTGACTCTATGGCCTCTTCAACCCTAATATGATTTATTTTAATATTTTTTTAAAATAAAGACTATAAATAACATTTGGAGACTGGACAAGAGGTGGCCTGGATACCTGGCTTGTCCCTGCTCACCACGGAAGCGGAAGCAGGAAGCAGGAGCATCGCTGCCCAGAACCAAAGCTTCCAAGAGCCAGCGGGTCTCATGGCGCCTCAAAACCATGGGATCCAGTGGCCACAGACCTGCAACAGAACAAAATATCTGAATTGAGCTTATTGCATACAGTTCCTTTCATCATTATCTCCAGAAAATCCTCGTCACCAAAGAGAACACAATAGATTTTTACAATATATAATTATATAATTGGATATCTGCTTATACATGTAATTAGACATTATTAATATATACCTTATTATGCATGAAAGGCTCTGAAAATATTTTCAGATTAGTTCCTAATTAGTTATCAATGTCCATACAGCCTCATATAACTTAAATTTCTCTTCTTCTAAATTTTTTTAAAGCCACGCTACTTACAATGATATGTATGTATCTTTATTTTTAATCCTGGTAAAATACGCATAACAAAGTTTACCATCTTAACCATTTTTACGTGTACAGTTCAGTGGCATTCAGTATCTTCATGCTGTATAATCACCACCACCACCTGTCACTTTTCATCCAGCAAAACTGAAACTCTGTATCTATTAAACAGTAACTCCCCATTTCTCCCACCCCAGCCCCTGGCAACAACCATTCTGTTTTCTGTCTCTACAAATTTGACTGCTTTAGGTCACATGCACGTGGAAGCACGCTGTATTTATCCTCTTGCGACTTTATTCACCAGGCATATTGTCCTCGAGGTTCAACCATCTTGTAGCATGTGTCAGTATTTTCTTGTTTTTTTTTTTTTTTTTTGCGATACGCGGGCCTCTCACTGTTGTGGCCTCTCCCGTTGCAGAGCACAGGCTCAGGACGCGCAGGCTCAGCGGCCATGGCTCACGGGCCCAGCCGCTCCGCGGCACGTGGGATCTTCCCAGACCAGGGCACGAACCCGTGTCCCCTGCATCGGCAGGCGGACTCTCAACCACTGCGCCACCAGGGAAGCCCTATACCTTATTTCTTTCGAACTCTCTTATCCAGCTATGGTCGTAATCCTCATATGACTTTGGAAACTTATCCTAGCTATTATTTCAAGGCCGTTGGTAACTGTTAAAGTAATTAATTCTATTTCAAATAAATGAACTCACAACTATGGATCTAACTTTCATAGAGATCCTTGATTGTTTGCATTTTTAACCAAACTGATTTTTATGAGTTGATAAGTTAGCAGTATAGCACAGTGGTTAAAACTTCATGCCTAGGTTCCACCACTCACGAATGAGTTACATGATTTCTCCAAGACTTCATTTATTCGTCTGAAAACTGGGAATAATACTAGCAATAAATTGTTTAATACCTGGAAAGAGTATAGCACAGGGCATTGAATACAGTAATTGTTCCAAAAAGTATCTGCTATTATAATTGTTTGCTCCACATATTCATAAAAAATAATGAGTAAAAATGTAGTTATATTTAGCTATTCATCCTGAGGTTGATAGTGATGTTTGAACAATGGAGAAATGCCAGAGCATCCTAAAAATTTATGTTCATTGAAGCTTTGGTCCCTGTTTCGGCAACAAAGAACCAGAGAGCTATATAGCCATAAGCATATGAATTCAAACTTGAGGTTTCCCAGCTATTTCTTTGAGTCACTTAGAGGATAAAAGTACTCAACTTCACACTCATTTCCTCAAAATGTTTGAAGAATTGATGTTATGGTTAGTTGACTGAATGTTCTAGTTACAGAAGAATTGCCATTCCACCACTCTACTGAAATGTCTCCAGCCAAGTTCAGCAAAACTTGAAAGAAGGATCCTTTTCTCTTTGCATCTAATTCAACTCTCCGTGGCATTTCCAGCAGCTGATCACGCCCTCCTTCTTGAAACCCTCACTCTCATTGGCCCCCCTGCCCTCGCACTCTCTGGTATTTCCTTCTAATTCCCCTTCTTAGATCTTCTTTCTACCTGATTTCTTAATGGTGGGATCTATGGGTCCTCCTCTCCTCTCTCTTTATAATGTCTCTTAGGTAATCGTACCAATCCTCTCGGCTTTAAGCAGTATCTGTCAGATGATGGGTCTAAAATTTACCTCTCCAGTCTAATCCTGGTCTCCGAACTTTAGACTTTGCGTCCAGCGGCCTACTCACTATTCCCTGTCAGACATCACAGAGACGCCTATAACTTCATACAAATCGAATGCTTGGTTCTTAACCACACCTTGCACCTTCGCGTTCTTCTCAGTCTCCATGATTAGCCCCCGTCAAAGCGCTCCAGCTAGACACCCAAGCATCACATGGATTCTTCCGCCTTCTGTACCCCCATCTCACACATCCCCATCAACAAGTCGCATCAGTGTTACCCCAAACACATCTCAAACCCACTAACCATTGCTCTCCTCTCCTCTGCCACTGGCCTAGCTCAGGTTGCCCTGGTGTCGACTCCTCCAAAGCTTCCTGACTGATTCCCTATGCACGATGGGCTCCTGACCGAGTTCACTCTCTACATAGCACTAGACAGCTTTCCTTAAAGTCAAGGTTGGATCACGTCACCCCCTATTTCTAACCCTTCAGTGGTTTCCCACTGAACTTCGAATATAATCCAAAAGGCTTTCTATGGTCCAGAAGCCCTGAGTAAACTGGCTCCTACCCGCCCTCCTGCTGATGTCCTGTTCCTCAAACTCCCTCACTCTTTCCAGCCTCAGGGCTTTTGCACATGCTGTTTCCTCATCCAGGAACATGCTGGGTCCTGTTCATCTTGCATCCTTCCATGTAAATGTTACTATGAGGAAGAGCCCTTCCCTGACCAGTAGACGCCCTGGCCCCCTCTTCTCTAGCTCAGACTTTTCTGTCTGTACACATGTTTATGGCCCTCACTCAACTCTAAGCTCCTGAGGGCAGGGACTGTGTGTCTTGTCCATCACTGTATCCTGGTGCCTGGCATGGTACCTGGAAAAGCAGGACTCGGTAAATATTCTTTGAATTGAAAGGGAGGAAACTGCCAATTTGTAAATCTTGAGACACAGTGAAGTGTACTTACGTTTGAATCTGTAGTGACGATAGTTTAACCTTTCAGAATTCTTAAGGCATTTCAGAATCTTATAATATTTTAAGGGTCATTGTAATGTACATCCTTTCTTTTTGTATGTTTCGAAAAACGTGTTTGCTATTGGAGGTTTCTATTGTTTCAATCCTGATTAGACATGTACGCAGCTACGAACATCTGAAAAAACTTTTTACAGGGTCTCAAAAGGAAGCCTTGTTTGTGTTTAAAAAAAAAAAGACACCTTTCCCAGATGTTTTCCCTCTGCTGCAGGCAATTTCAGGGTTGACCCCAACAAAAGTGTCAAGGGCAAAACTTCCCTTGAGGTCTTCCTGGACCTCTCTCCCAGATCCTTCCCACAATCCCCAGATACCTGCTGTCCTCAGGCTGCTTCTAGCTGTTCTCCACCCACCTCTGGTGCCCTCCCTGGATTTCTCAATTCTGGGCTTTTTCCACCATCCAGAAATCTCCTTCCTCATTGAAACTTGCCTGTTTGCTCTCCTGTCCCCTCAGATCCCAGCTCGTGACTATCAAGATAGTTTTACAAATGAATCCAAGCCAATGTTATCACAGTGTAATGTGTTGTTCTTTCCAGGTAAGATTTAAACTTTAACCTTCAATACTTTACCAACTGAGTGACTGATGTAGAACCTCAGGGTAATATATGTAGATGCTGAGGTTTCTTAGGGCCCCCAAATCACTTTTTTCCAGACTTATACAAAGATGGCTCTTGATGCATTTTAAGAAGGATATGGAGATTACCGGCAACATACTTGGTCTCATTTTCTGAAGCAGAATTTCTTTTATATATGGTATTTTATTTAATATTCACAATAAGTTGAGAGGCAGGCATGCCTGCTCCTAACGTTAGCAGGGTACAGGGCAAGAGATCTTCATTCCATATGTCTAAATATTTAAAAGTTAAAAATAAAGCTAATAAAACTGATAAGAAGTATATATTTTCTCCTTTCACCTTGACAAATAAACTTTCACAAAGACCTAAAAGCCAAGGTCACGTTCAAAATTGAACAGAGAAGGCTGCAAGGGATGCAGTGGCCTCTGGACTAGACAAAGCTCCTCCCTTACTGTTTCCCATTCCTGGTTCCATCTGCACCATGAGGGCCCTCACTCACACATGTGGGAACATGCCAGTAAGCCCAAGCTTTGTCCACAGCACCTGCAAACTTCTCTCCTTGACCACCCCTTGGGCTCAGGATTGTTCACACCAGTGGCTTGGTCTGTCCCTGGGAAGATGGACCCAAGGAAGAGGTGTCCAGATCCTGCAAGATGACTAAAGGTCATTTGGTCAGGGAATGTCAGGATCTTGGATTCCCACAGCCTAGTTTAGAAGCTCTGGCTTTGGGTGGGCCAGTCCCCTTACCTCTGTGGACTCTTACCACTGAGACCAGGTGCACAGACAGAGCAAGACCTTCTAAAATGTAGAGCCCAGAGCAGGGGCCTTCTTGCCTGGTACAGACATGAAACATTAAAGCTCATAGAGAGGATCCCAGAGCCTGGGGTTCCGGTTTAGGTCTGCTTGACTAAAAATCCTCTGCTGTTACCCCATGATGTTTACTACCAGGGTGTGGGACAGACCTATCACATCCCTATAAGCTTCCTTTTCAAATTTCAGCTAATCTCCATCAAGATTCGAGCCAGACCCTCCACAGTTCCTTCCCAGTACGAAAGTCACTGTCGTGAGTATGCCCAGCACTGGCCGTCTTGAGCAAACAACACTCCTGGAGACCAGGAACCCTCTAAGGTCATCCAGACAGCCCTGCCTGCAGCTGGCTTCTCATTATCTTAACAGCAAAGAGAAGTCTGCTGCCTGAAGGCTGGCCTCTGACCTCTACGAAAACCCATTATTCTCACCATCCTTTGCCAACCAAAATATCTGTGGAGACTGGTTGGGCTTAGGGAATTTTAAAGAGCCACTGTCCTTTAAACTTCTTTAATCCAGTTCTTGAAATCTTAGATGGCAACTATAAAAACTGAGAATATTTGAATTAGGACATAGATTTTTTACATCTTCTTATTAATGTATATTTGTGTACAGAGACCACAAAGAGGACAGAAAGGAATATTGGGAAATCTTAATCTT